TAGCATGGTGCATAGATAGCATAAATAGCATGATTGTTGTTGTTTCATGTGTTCAAACAACAATAAAATTAGCCAATCGTGCTATCTATGCACCATGCTAGACAGTATGCACCGGATCGTGAATACCCCTAATATTAGCAATATTTATGGGTCGACTTCCCATGCAATTATACGATCGATAAACCGTTTACGCTTACAGAATTTTATAACTAGTGTACTACTAGTGTAGTAATATGCCCAATTTTTAAGGTAAACAAATTTATGTCTGGTTTTTAAACTACTTTCGTTGCGTATCTAGTTCTTGAGTGGCCAAGAGTTTATTTGCAGCTTTTAAAGAGGCAAAAATGTATGCATAGTTAAAAAAAAATATTTATTTTCCAATTTTTTAATCGACCATACAAATTTATTCAATCTTAAATTGCTACAAATTTATCTCAAATTTTTAGATGAACAAATATTAAAGTCCAGTTTTCAATGAGTAAACTCTTATGTTCAGTTTTTAATAGGCAAGAAATTCATGTTCAATTTTTACATTACTAGAAATTTATGTCCAGTTGTTTGCTTCAACCCCAAACATTTATGTTCATGACTCGCAAGCCTCTGTATATCAGACGCCGTGAGAAGCGCACTACAAGGAGGGCTGAACATGATCTTTTACTTGAGGCTACCGCAAGTATTCGTAACAGGTGCAGTGGAAAAAGAAGCCCTTAGGCTTAGGTAATCAAAATTATGGAAGCAGACCAACTACGGGCAGGCAGCGGGCTTGAAAATAGTTGACAGTGGACAGCGTAACGGAATCAAGACCGAATAAGATGCCGAAACTGATAACCTCACGTCCTTCTGGGAGTTTAGTTTTAAGATGCCCATACACTTTCCAATCCGGAGATTGGGGTGGTGGCTTCCGGTCGATAAATGATGGTATCTCCACCGATGGAGCAAAGATGGAAAAAGGGGTCGACTCGGGTCTGCACTCCGAGGACCTTCAATAAGGCAATCATATCGCATGCCTGATAATTGCAGTGTCTTTCAGGCGTCGACCTTTGCCATAGATAAGGCGGCTTGGCTAATACAGGATAGAAAGTATCTGTCAGGGAATGTCACTATATTCGTTGGCACCCAGGCGGCATTGAAAACATTAGGCTTCACGAAAGTAAAGTCGACAGAAGTTCGGAAATCTGGTGTAATGTTGGCTTCATTGAGTCACGGTAAAACCTCTCTATGCTGGGTTCCTGGACTGTGAGGTCTCAAGATCCGGCACTCAATATGTTTATGTTTATGTTGAACAGGGCACTGTGATATAGCACCAATGCTCCTTTGATGGCGCATATAAACGAGCTATCTCTGCAGAAATTGTCGGGATGAGGATAAAAAGGAATTGATGCACTAGTTCTTATGCCAATGCCCAGATCTTCAGCTAAGGCCTCTCAAGCATTTGGGATTATGCAAATTCAATAGCTTGGGGGAGATAGCGGAGGTGAAAATATCGGATCCCCACGGCTTCATCCGAGATAGTAAATGGTTGGATAGACTCTATACTGACAGTATCGATTGACTTTGGCTAGAAGAATGGCACTCATAGAGGGCATTCAAAATGGGCAAATCTGCCTCTGAGTGAAATAGAAGTCATTCGTACGCGCGTTCCTAACCTGATCTAACCTAATATTTCCGCCCACATTTTACAATATTTTACAACATTTTACACATCCTACAAAAAATAAATAATACGCAGCGTAAGTTCCAGCGCAATCCGTGCAGGTTTTGATTGAAATATTTTTCAATATGTGGCTTTCCTCGTTTAGAAATTTCAGTTTTAAAGCTATTTAAATCCTCTTTCATTTGATACCAAACTTGTTTAATTTGGATAAGCGGTTTGTTTATTATCCGGAAAGAACTTTTATTTCGGAATAATATTCGCAACAACCCTGGTATGTACCTAAGCATGTATACATATCAGGACTTTTGTGAATATTTGCATTCACATTGGTTATGCGAATGGTTCGCATCCTTTTACACATTCGCATTCGCATTAAATGATACGAATGTTTTGCGAATGTGAATGTGTACATGGGCAGAGTGTCCACTCTAATGTTGTTGAAATGGCTCTAAGTCTGTCTAAGCAGGGTGCGGGCAATAACCGGCTTTTAGCTTCATACGCTAAACGGTTAAGTAGTATATCAAGCAACATTGATGGGCCTTCAACAAGTACTGCTAAATGTCTTATAACCTACCTAGAAATAATTTGAGATTCCTCCAGCGAAAGCAAAGGCTCGGAAGTAGAATCTGGAGACATTATAAATTTGAAATTAAAGTTCAGTTGAGGCCTATCTTAAATAAAAACAAGCTCATCTCGGTGAAATCTAAACTAAAATACGACAAATTGACAGATCTGACAGGAAAAAATTTGAGCGCTCCACCTGCCAGCGTTCCAAGTGAGCAATTGTTCAGTGCAGCCGGCCTTACAAACGAGCCTCTAAGAAAACACCTCATGGGAGGAACAAAATTACTTTTTTGAAATATAATATGCCCCTTTTGAACTTTCACTACTACATTAAAACGCTGTATAGGTTAAGCACTCGTTCAATGTTCCAATAATTTACAAAATTTTTAAGTAATAAAAACGATGACTTAGCTGATTAAAGCTTTTTATAATGTTATTCCTAACATTCCCATTCACATTCGCACATTCGCAATCCGAAAACTCGCATTGGCATTCGCATTCGCGAATGTGAAAAATATGACATTCAAAACATCCCTAATACATATGTCCACATATTTTTCAGCATACCTTTGACGATAGCTCATTGCAGAAATAATCATAGCCATATGCCAGTAAAGCAAAGATCAAACAAAATTTCAATAGCTTCCAGCTTTTACTCTCACCACCGTCACTTTCATTTTCACTTAAAAATTTTTGCACACAAGCGAAAGCTTTCGGTTCGATGCACATATTCTTGCATTTTACTAAAATTTGTTGCAATTTCAATTTTGTTTCTTCAACGGACATTTCCTTGCAATCGAAACCGGAAAAAGAAAATTTGATTCAACTGTAGCGCTGCGGCACCGCAAAACGACTGTGATCAGGATAATGGTATTTTCACGCAATAGTTACTTACGAGTATTGTGGGCCCCGACACTTGTTTCAAATGCTCCTACAAGTACATAAGTACATATGTATGTATGTATGTACATATATACTTACTCGTACTTTAGCCTTAACGGTATTTATCCTTTGAAATGGCAATAATGTGATTATCAGCTTCTTTACAGTCTGTCGCTATGACGCACATATCTCATTGGAAGCACACAAATACACATGCATGGATAGGTTTCCCTGCAGAAAAAAATTATCAATTGATAAAAAATAACCCACTTGTAGTTAGCTTTTTTTGCGGGATTTCTATAAAATACATAGTAACTTGTAGTTAGCTAAAAAAGCTAAATTAAAACTAGTTGACAAGTAATGCAGGAGAAATGAAGGATATTGTTTTTTTTTTTAACCCGTTTCTATTAAAACATCCTGCACTTCGTAAATACTTTTTCGAATTGAGGACAAATAAAAGGACTATCGAAATTTCATATTATCATTTTGAAGTTATGTCTGACAGAGTTCGAATATGGGACCGCCTACAGCAGAATATGCCCTGCAGGAAATGTATCTCACTATAAGTTAACTTTAAGTTGATTAGGAAGGAGCTATAAGTCACTTATTATCCGTATATTTTCTTTGACGAAAGCTAACTATACTTCTATATTTCTGCATTTGATGTAACTAACTACTTTTGGGCATAAAATATCAATAGGAAAAACAAAATATTTTGTACTTATTTATTTATTTTTTTATTTATTTACTTTATTTATTTTATCACATTTCATATTTGTTTACATATTCTGCTGTAGGTGGTCCCATATCCGAACTCCGTCAGACATAACTTCAAAATACGATCTTCCTTTTATTGTCCTCAATTCGGAAAAGTATTTGCGAAGTGCAGGATATTTAAACAGAAACGGGTTTAAAGAAAGCACGAGACAGCGATATGTGTGGCGTAGAACAAAGTTTTAATTTTGTTTTTTGAGTTCTAAACATTTATTGTTCACAATTTCACAGTTTACACATAAAATGTTTAAAGTTTCCTCTAAAAAATGTTTGTTAAAATTTACGCACATAAAGATAGGTAACCAGTTTCCTCTCCTAATGTGTGCAAAATGAAACACTGACTGTTTATTTTTACATACCAAATATCTCGCGTAGAGAAAAATTACACACACTGTGTTTAAAATTGATTAAATATGAGCACTTAATAATTGTTATTTCTATAAAATATATTTTTACTTAAAAAATTTTTGTAATTTTAAACATTTCATGTGTATATTTTAAACGACTCATGTTCAAAATCATATCTTGAACATCTTATGCGTATATTTGCACAGAATCTGGTTGAAAAGTAAACACTTTTCAGTAGTAGTTTTACATGCACTTTTTAGAGTGTAATCAACTTAAAGTTAGCTTATAGTTATATACATTTCCGGCAGGGCAGTTTTACACTAATAAATACATACGTTGTCTGAGCTATGTTGACGTAGGCATTGAACTCGCTTATTTGATGTTTACGATGTGTTTTCCCGCGGTGGTGGTGTAGCATAGAGTGGTTAAAAGCGATAAGCTAGCAACAAGCTGATTGGATAATAAAGAATAGACAATGTGGGTTACTAAAGCGGGTGACGAAATGCAATTACAGACGATATGCTTGTTGGCTGTGAAGCGTTGAAGTCGATTTGAATGGCATAGAAAGTGCAAGGGAAAGTGAGGTGGTGCGCGCAAATTGAATGAATGAATCGAATAAAAATGGGGTTTTGCAAATCAAACGGTGTATTTTATTTCCTCTTCTCCCAAGAATATGAGGTGTACAATATTTTTCACATTTAGATAAATTAATGAGCATTTGTGACAGTAGTTTTAATTGAGAAATTAATTGGGTATTTTTCCTGCTATATCTTTACAGAAACCCCTACACAACAGATAGCACGTGCATTACCTATGATGCAGTGAATGCCGCCTATTTGGATGCGCGAAAACGAATACGTGAGTACTACTTACATGCTATATAAATAAGTAACTAATGAT